GCATTGCTGACTAAGGTGCGCAATGTCATTTCGACACCCTGAATCATCCCCTATATACAACCAATGAGCTTAGGGTTCTGATGGGAAATGGTAAATTGGGAAAATCAAACTCATCAAAAAGTTACAGCATAAATTAAAGCTTACAGCAAAATAAACATTTTTAAAATGGTTGAAGTACCATAAATTATTGGCTAATGATTATATAACACCGTTCAATTTCATTCAATTATAACATATTTTCCTAATCCTTAAGGGGAATTAAATGTTGCAGTAACTCATGGGTAGATCTTGATCTGTTGTTATAGTTGTTGATAGGTGTAGGCAGGATGGATCTTCGTTTCGTCAAGCACCAGATCTAATTCTGGACACATATTAAGTTGAAAGCAGACATTTTCTGAAATAAGAGCATTTTAGTTCAATCCAACGTAGGTTATTTGTCCCTGACTGCATTTTGGAAACTGTAATCTGGGCTTTCGATGGTTGTATTTGGTCTTACTGCAAGGGGTTTGCTGACATGAAGCAGTACAGAGGGACCCAGAATTCAGGTGAGACAGACAATACTTAATGGTGTTCATCAAAAAAAACAGGAGCTGGTTGTGGATCAGCGGTAATAGTGGCTGGGGCGTCTATGACTAAAGCTGTGGTTTTACAACTGAGTCCAGTGTCCAAAACACAGGGATTGTATCAGCCAGTCGACTGAACAGAAGCAGCTGGTGCTGCCAGAGAGTTCCAGATGTGGAAAACTGCAGAGCTGACACAAGACTGGAGACAGGTAGGCAAAACTAATAAGACTGAGGGCAGGAAAGCTCAAAGGTCCAATAGCAAAAATGGGTCAGGATTAGATAATCAAAACACTAAGTAGGCTAGAAACCTCTCTTGACCAAAGGCTCAAGAATAATCTGGCACTGTTGGCTGGGAAACAGGTAGCTTAAATAGGAAACTTGAACACGTGAATTTGATGAGGAACTAGACAGGTGAAGGAAATTAGCAATCAAGCCAGCCATCAGTGTTAAAATCATGATATTTGCATGTTCTCCCCGTCCATGCGTGGGTTCTCTCTGGGTACTCTAGCTTCCAAAGAGAAACATGACTGTAAATTCAATTGGTTTCTCTAAATTGTCCCTAGGTTTAAGTGTGTGTGCATGGTTGTGTGTCTTTGTGTTGTCCTGTGACAGACTGGCAACCTGTCTAGGGTGTAGCCGGCCTCTCGCCCGTAGACTGCCGATAGGCACCGGCCCAACCTCGACCCTGACAAGGACTAAGAGGGAGAAAATAGATCGATGCCTTTTTTTTGTTGCCCCATCTAAGTCCATGACAGTACAGGACTTATTTAATGGTGGATTATGACCCTTTGTTTCCATTCTTAGTCAGCTTCTTCCAACGGTTGTTGTCGCTTGTTTTTGATGTTTATTCCCAAAGTTTGCACTAAAACACTTAATCTATGGGACTAAGAATCCATCTACTCCCTAAATGATAAGTAGAAATTGGAGATTACTATGTAGAGCTATATAGGAAGTGTTTACCTCTGGATTGTTTGACTATCTCTTTCTCCAGCTTTCTTCAGGTAACCAAACTGATTATTCAGCAAAATTTACCAATGATTTACTAGAGATTAACTTTGTTTGCTGATTATCAGATTCACTTTACCTCACAGCTGCTCTGAAGTCAAGATGACAGGTGGTTCATGTAAGGGTCTGCAAATGGCACAGCTGTCAAGTCTGGGAAAAAAGCACCTATTTTACCCCCTCTTTCCTGTCATCCTCCCTTATTCGCCGTCGCTAGCCTTGGTAGTCAAAATTTGATCACCTAATTGTAGTTTGGAATTGGTCGACAAGTGTTTGTTTTAGATCTTGTGCAAATGTTTTAAAATATAATGGATATTAGAGCTAGACTGGGATAGCCAGATGGTTTGCAGCGGATGTCAAATTTTTTTTCTTATATTCAAATCCAAAACTTGACAGCTCTGTGCAAAAGTAAGGAACCTATTTATTAAAGAATATTCTCTCAAAGCTTTTGCTTTCCAGTCAAAATCTTACAAATCTAAATCTAGAAAAAAAAAGCACAAAAATGAAAGAAAAAAATGGAGAGTTAAAAAATAAGTTTTTAAACATTTATTCTTTTTTATAATGAAAAAAATATATATTGTTTTTATAAATTAAAACGAACTGTAATTTGGTTAATTATAATAAAAAATGTACTTTAATCTATATTTCTTAATCTATATTTTATAGCATTATTATGTGAAGCTTAATTTTATTCAGCTAAATCATAATGAAAGTAGATATAAAAATAAGTTAAAAAAAAATCAAATAAAAAAACTATAATTATTGTGATTATAAATAAATCTGACTTAAATATCATTCTACAATAAATATTTAAAGTAAACATTCTAATATACTATATTTTTTTCATAAATGTAGATACAAATAGAGAAAAAAAAAACATTTTCTTTTATTAATATATGGGAGAGGGGTGGACTTAAAATAAAATAATAAATCCTACTTTATATTCTTATTCTGCATTCATCATAGATCAACCTTACAGTCAAATTTAATCCAGCAAAAGATGAATCCAAGGCCTCCTGATGGAGGAGAAAGGATGCGGTGATCAAAGCAAGAAGAAAGGAGCATCCCTGCTTTTTTGTCTCCTTTTTCTTGTGTTATGCATCCCATAATATCACATTTAAAAATGGTTGTTTTCTTGGAAAAAGTTCCCAGATGGATCTGTCAAAATCCAACGTTTTCAAAACAAACTTCATGCTTTATACTGTTTCAGCTTACAGTTAGTACTCCGTCACGAGGCCCAAATGGTGTTTAAACAAATCAGCTTGGGGCTGAACATCCTCTAAGACAGAGCGAGTGGAAGATTTCTTCCTGAGGCGGAGTGGAGTTTATCAAGTGTGTCTGCGTGGCGGAGGATCTGTGAGAGCGCAAGCTCAGCAAATCCCCGCGCAGCCTGTCCCATCCCAGCGCCACATGGCAAGTGTTGCATCACTGCAATAATGGGCTGCGCCTCATTGAGCAGGCTTATTGGATCTTCCACAGAAGTGAGGTAAGTGGTGTGCTAAATTAAATGCAATTCATACTTTTTTTGGGCTGCAGCCCGCTCTGCTATTACATTAAGTGAGAGAATTACATAGGCAGAGACAATATTGCAGCTGTTCAAGCATTACAAGACGCCAGTGGCTTTAGTGAGATCACATTTCAATCAAGCAGGCAGTCTCAGGTGACTCACTGTGAATGAGAACAAATGGGCAAATTAAAATTACATCCTTTGATTTCTGGACCACGAAACCCAGCCCCATCACTAACTTAACTTTTCAGCCGCATTAGAGAATAAAGAGGAGAGAAAAGTTGCATTAATAGGAGCTTAAAGACCAGAAACTGAGTTTATCCAGGTGAATGCAGCTGAATCTGTATCAGCTGACAGGTCTATTGAGAGCTGACAGGGATGTCTAGAGGAGTCAGAGCTTATCAGGTGGAGTCGTTTTACAGTGATTGACCTGAGTCTAGATCAGGGGTCTGCACCCTTTCAAAAAAAACAATATGATAAAAGCTCATTTCCAAGTATCACCCTGACATTCCGGCTAAAACAGATTATGAAACACGCAAAATTGATCTGCAAACTGTACAAAAGCTGTTAATTTTGTCTTTTTCCAGTGGCCCTAATCCTCTTCCATAGATACCATCTCTTTAAAGAAGTGTAACGTCTTGTTAATTTGTGGTAAATTCATCTACATTTATTCATAAGGATTTTTCCATCTTCCTCATGGATCACATCATAATAATTAAGAAAACCATCTTGAGACCTCAAGTAGGTGTTTCTCAGCCCCCCAGGGGGTCCTAACCCCCGCTTTGGGAACCCTTGTTTTAGTACCTGATTAAATCTTGACAGATTATAATATTTGATTAATTTGACTATTATTATTAGTACAAATTGAACTTCTTTCTTTGGTTTCTTTAGACAAGATTCTCAGGGTTGTTCCCTAGAAATACAACAAACAAAAAAAAGGTAAACAGTGTGGGACCCAGCCCCTGTTGCAGGGTAATCTGTAGGCACTGCATGAAGAGGAGCAAATGTGTGCTGGGAATCTAGATGCATGATTTTGTCGGTTTATGTGTATCTGGCAGACAAAGACCAGCTGTAAAAAAAAAAAAAAAAATTTTGGGTTTTAAAATAACTTATTCCAACAGCGTTATGGAAAATGTATTTGGATGAACTTTAATAACCCTTGTTCTCTTGAAATACATATGATTTTCCCTCCAAACACCAGATTGCACTCAAATGCAATTGAAAAGCCAATAATATTTTTTTCAACCACACCTACAGGCTTCACATAATCTATTTCAAGGGTACGTTATTGACCTATGCATCATAGTACAGGGTCTTCTCTGATGCTATCCAGTTCAGCCTATTGATTAAGCAAAAATCATGAATCAGTTTGAATACATCAAAGGAAATGAAAGGATCTTTTTGCCTTAAGCTGATGAGGAAATACTTTTAAAACGAGTTTTACAACAACAAATTGACCGTCAACACTAGGCCAGCATGATCAAAGCAAAGGCCAGTCCATCATCTCACTGGTGCATTACAGACCTGTTGACTGATCCAGCCTGTAAAAAGCAGCTATACTTCTGCTTTTTATCTCTAAATTTTCTCCTCAGGCTTAACTATTGAGAAGATACACATACAATAGCTAGAGTGAAAATGTTTATTTTCCATTGATCTAAGCAGGGGGAAAAAAAAAAAAACGATTTAATGATTAAAAGAGATAATTTATGTCCAAAACAGGAAAGACCAAATCTATTATCTTATTTCAAGTTCATGATTTTAATTATGCTATTTTTATAATTATATAATTTATGTTTTAATTATATATGGTCCCTTTTGAAACAAACAAAAAAAGATAAATCTAAATTTTTATAAAATGAAAAATGACAATATCACAAAAAAGTAGCCCCGTAGAGAGCAAATGGCGTAAAAAGAAAGTATCGACTCACCGTTGACGACCACGGCTATGTCTACAAAGTCGATCTCGCCTCGGGCCTCCACGCTGGCCTCGCAGCGGTACACACCCTCGTCCGCCTTGCTCACCTGGTGGATCTGCAGGTTGTTGTTTGGCAGAACCTGGAACCTGCCTTTGCGTTTCGGGTGGAGAGACGCAGGGGGAAGAACAAGAAAACAACAGCGTAAGAAAGAGAAGGCGGACAGATAATTCCTGGAATAAAAAGTGCAGAAGAAAATTGCCATTTCCACTCCTCTGCGGTTAGCCTGTCAGTCTGGACCATGGCTCATTTACCTGATAAAGTCCACACAGATAAACACTCATGCTTTACAGCTCTGCACTGTCGGGGCCATCACGATATTGGACAGCACTGCGGAGGCCTCTATCTCCTCGCTCTAGCAGGTATTTATACCCCGGCATCACAATTAAGGCAAAATGATTAACGAAGAAAAATGCATCTTATGGACTGTTTCATCACTGTAGCGTCACAGAAGATTTGAATTTCAATTAAAAAAAGTGACAGATTCAAGGATTCACAGGGTCACTCTGTCCAATCAGTGATTGCACACTTTCATTACTCTTAAAAGAAGGAAGAGAGAGTTTTAAATCAAGGAGGAAGGGAAGGTGGAATGATGAGTTGGATGTGCTTGTTCTGATTTTACAGGAAAGGAATTTCTCCTTTGAGTGCCTCTCTTCCTTCATTTCCCTTTTTTTTTTTTACAAATTAAGTACACCGTTCTCCTGATATTTAACACTGTTAAAACTAAAAAGGGTGAGATTACCAGGGAGAGCTCTATAAATGGTATAAATCATCTTTTGCTTAAAGGGAACAGAGGAGGATCGACAATGAAACTGTGAAATCTTCCATGAAGAATCAGCGGGACAGGATAAAAACACCAATTTCTCTCCTTTATATATATATATATATA